TTCCAAAATATCTTACAAATGTAACCTTGTTACATTTTTATTATAGGTATAGATAATTACTGTCAAAGGTTACGTCAAAATGATGAAGATAGCAATAATGACGTGTACTTGACGTGTCAAAAAATTAATGCTATGGAAAATCAACCTTGTTGTTAGTTGACGTAACACGCGAAATTCAACCTTAGGGTGGTAGACCACTTTCTTGGCCGACTGTACAAATGGTATAGTCAGACATATTTTATTATATTCTCCGCCAATTCCTAATGCACCTGGCCGTCATTTTGGTGACGTGATACAACATTCTGTACTGTTAACATATTATCTTTTTAGAACGTGATTAAGTTATAGTCGGGTTTTAGTTTATGAACCCTTTTTTTATTTTTATCTTATGAAAGAACGGTGTCAAAAATAGATATAATTGATATGCCATTAAGACGCCATAATTTAGTTAAAATTAGCAGAATGGAGGCATTGGGTGGCCTATGGCGGCTTTGAAAACCCAGCTACATCATTTCATAATATTTCACTTTGATACCATTACTTTGCAATAAAATAATCTACTGAACGATAATAATCTATTGATAAATCGCTATCTCCTAGATATGATACGATTTAAGTTCTTCGAGTTATGAAATACAAATATAATAATAACAATAATAAGCAGTTTATTATGAACATTTGTTTTTAATTTACTTAGGTAATTAACTGTATAATATATTTAAAATTTCAGTGTGAGTCTTGATAGAGGCCTACTACTTCATTGATTTCTATCTCTTGCAACTCTTCTCCAATAAGGTCCTGTGGTTATTTTTAGCACGTTTCGAGGACGAGATACTTACAAATAGTTCATCATCATTAGCCTTTTTATATAAAGAGGATGGACCATGACTCTCCACGCTGGCTTAATGCTGATTAAGAGGGTATTAACGACTGTTAATGAATTCTAATTACTTTAACTAATTCTACTTAATTTTTTGGTCACCCATTCCGTGGACGACCCTTGTGGAAGTTGCTTAACAACAACTGTCGCAGGCCGCGGCGCTTATTAACTACATACTCTATCTAACTACTCCAAATAGTAACGGATATTAAAAGAATTTATATTTGTGTGATAGTAATTGTAATGAAAAAGTTGCCGTAAGGTATGTAATGTCTGTGGTAATGTATTGTTAGTAAGAAAATCTTGTCAAGTAAAAATTTGTAGTTTTAATACATATTACCTAGTCTAGCCATATGTTCTATTACAAAGAAAATATCCGATAATTTCTAAAAAAATAATTTTATTTTAAAGTTTTATATGTGATTATGTAGAGTGAAAAAGATATTTAAAGTGTCCACCCTTAGCTTTAACGCACGTTTTAAACGGTCGGGGCTTTCGTCGATGGATTTACAAACAGTTTACATTGGAAACTTGGTACACTGCTGCCTCCAAAAATTTCTTGAGAGACTCAATATTTGGGTGATGAGAGCAGGCCATGTTCTCTAGCACAGACCACAATTTATAGTCCAAAGTGTTTAAGTCCGTACTAGCCGAAGGCCAATCATTGATCGTTTCGTTTATCAAAATCTTGTATCTAGATAAACACCATTAGTAAATTATATTAAAAATATTTATTGAGATACTTATTATAATAAACTTTGTATTAATTATATATACAATAACCGAGCCTTGTCTGGTAACTTATAGAAATATAATTAAATCTATATAACAGAAAAATATTGCTAAACATTTACAAGTCTAAAATACCTGCAATAACACGTGGATCATTCAGTTTCTACTATTGTACAAATAGCAGTAATTTCAGGGTTATCAGTATCACAGATCGCTATAATATCGAAATTTGAATAAGATACGGTCGTCGAATAAGGCCCACTGTTGAGACGTATAGACATTTTAGACGTATAGACTAGTCTAGACATTTTTAGCACTTCAGCGGTTTACAACAATGGGTTTTATTAGATAACAGTACCTATACATAATATTTTCTTTGCTATCTATTATGAATTAAGGCGACGCAGCAGGCGGACCGCGGATGCTTGAATCTGATGCCGCCAAAATATTGTTAGTAAGTAGATATGTTATGGACCACGAGACTAATGAGGGCATTATTATTAATCTTCGAGCATAATGAATGATGTCTACCTCTATCGGGCTAAGTAATCAATCTTTATCTAAACTTAATTATTTATCACATTGCATGGTCATTATTATATTGCTATTTGACAATTTTATAATGACAAATAATGAAACTGATTTTTGATTATTTTTTTAACACAATAAAAAAATTATCAAATAAACGAAGTTATTTTGGCCCTGTAGGTCGCGTGATAGGTTAGAAATTATTTTTTATGTTCTTTTTTCTTTAATATATAACATTAAAGTTTTTTTAGTCTTCCTACTTTCGTATATCATTTATTTTTTCACGAGAAAACGAAACTTTAAAGTCTATAAATAAAATAAGGTCTAAATTCTAATTATCTGGATGTTAAAGTAATAAAATTGTTTTTTTCGTCTTAATTATGCCTTTTATATACATTTTTTTAATTATCTGTAACTTGTTTTTGGTCTGTTGCCATAAAGTATATTATTATTATGCTACTCCGCGCTTTAGCGTAGCGGGAACGTCTGTTCCCACTACCCCCTTTGGCGCACGTTGACGTAGTAGCAGATTCTAAAGTGCTTCCGTCAAACTTCTATAAAACATACAAAATATATATTTCATACAAAGATACGTTTTAAAACTTGTGGTTAAAATTTATTATGTTTTATGTTACCTATATTTTCAATATTTCCTTAGATTTTAAATGCAGAAGCTAGTGTATTCATAATGTATTTGCTAATTAATCCAAATAATTAGACTAATTATTTAACATTTAGTTTATTTTAAGTGATCTCATTTCAGTCCTGGGGTTAGATCGAAGTCAAGAGTGAGCCCATTATAAAAAATGACAATAAAAATGAAAAATTACTAATTAAATATATTCGTAATTCTGCCCAAAAGATAATTAACAATATGTATCATTATTATCAAATTGCTCTCTCATATTGGGCCATTTTCACAATGATGGGGCATTTTGTATAATGCCCAATTTATCACTTGGTCCATAACAGATATATTTAACGATTTTCTGGCGGTAGATTCAATATAATATGCATATCATAAAATGTCTATGGATATTATATGTTTTTTTAAAATAAATGAGTGGGTAGGACTGTAAAACAGCTGCCTATCAGGGGCCTAATTGTCTAATTTAAAAATATTGAATGAACGATATCTTTAATTTGACGTTAATTGTAATCATCTTAAGCAAGCGTTAGACCCAAATATTACTTGAAATTTAAGTTAAGAACTAATTTTTATTACGTTTCTTGATAAAGCGATTGCGGTTTTCAACGTTACATAACTCCATAAACCGCTATCACAGTCGCTATGCCTTTTAAAGGGATTGCGATATATTAGAGTTAGATAATTAAGCTACATTTTACTACAAAATTGGAAATTGCTGCGATAGATTTCGAACTTAATTACCAAAAAACTTAATGCAAATAAAAATATTTCGGCAGTAAACTGAAGTGTTGTTGACTGTACACTAACGGGTCTTATTAACTTTTTGTTATGTATTTTCGATGTACATTTCTTAAATAACAAGTCAATAAATCCGCGTTGTATTAGGTATATCTAATTGACAATAACAAGTATTAAAAATATAAACAGTAAAAAAATTCTCAGCAAAAATAAATTACATTCTCAGCTTTAATAACTGGTTCACATGGTCTAATTTGCCCCTGTGGTATAATTACCACATTAGACCATGTGAACCAGTTGATAGGATTCATTATTATTGTTGTAAAATTGTTGATGTTCAGTTTTAAAAACAATTAAATGTAATACTAACATAACCATGTCATCCATTTAAATCATAAACCTAAATTAATTTACTGGAAAATAATATACTGGTTTTTCCAGACAAGTCCAACAAAAGTAAAGTGAACATTATTTCATTTATTTATCTATTAGGGAGCCGAAATATGGCTTACTTTTTTAAGAAGATTTCACAAGGACCCAGCCAACACCTTGAAATCTTAAGATACTAGTGGTGTATTGAAATTATGAAGAATGAATAATGTCATATTTAAGTTACTTTTTTGTATTAGGGTTTCTGTTTTTCACTCTATGGTGAAACTTGTAATTGGGTTATTGTTAATTATGTTTAAATTTATGATGTTTATATAGCTGTTGGTTTTTCAAGATAAGTAATAAAATAATAACATGAATCATAAATTTACAGTTGAAAAATAAAAACTTTAATATCATTTAGATTTTGTAGCTCATATTCGTTGAGTGAATCTACTATTTTGAACCACACCTCTTGCAGTGTTTTCGCTTTCACTCAAGGAAGCTATATAGCACCATAAATCTACTACTGAAAATATCTGGGAGTATGACAAAATCGTCAGTCTTCAGTTTTATCATCATTACTTAGATTTTTGTATGTAATTTGGACAGTCTCAATAAGATTTTCAATAGATCAGATTATAAAAGGTGTCATCTAACTTCATCGAAGGTCTGGGGCAGCATTAGGCATGGATTAACAACTTTTTCCAATTGGGGCAGAAACTTAATATTGCGTTTACAACTTGAAATTAAACGGGAAACCATATTCAGAAGGTTTTACTGTATAATAATAATAATAAAACGGACATCCACTATTTGAGACAGTATAAAAATCCTAACGTTCTACAAATGAACTAACCTGCACTGCAAGCTATAATAATTCTAATGAAATTTTATTATCTGAAAAAGTCGTCCAGTGGATTACATTATTATATAAAAAGCACATAAGTCAACAACGTCATGTTATTTTTTATGTATATTACCCATATTATAGAATGTATAATGAACAATGATAATAATGAACATATTCTAATATAAGTAATATAATCTAATAAGTGTAAACTTGCATGTATTATGTTGCATTAAGATATAGAGACAGAAGCAAAAGGTTAAAATAAATCTTTTGTAAAAAAATCTACACATAAAGTACAGACAAATTATATTCTTATGAGGAATAGTACAAAACAAATTTGTTATTAAAATATTCCTGGTGATGTTAAGACACCAATTCTTTGGCATTAAGATACAGTCACAATATAGTTAAGAAAACTTTGCAACTTTTATCTTAACTCTGGTTCAAATAGCATGGTGCTATTTAACCCTATTCAAATGTGTGTATGAATTATATCATAACATTGTGATAAAAAAATACACAAGTATAATTTCTATTTCTAGTTATAGAATGGTATTACTAGTCTGGTGTTCTAGACCTCGGCGGTTCATGGCCAAAGCAGTGCTTGTGAGTGGGATCTTTGTAGGAATTCTCATGTAACACACTATGAGAACTTGTGCGACATTTTGTTAGACACAACTCATAATCATCAGTAAGAGTGCGAAATAGTACATTTTCTTCTGCAGACAATTTTGAAAGCACCAACTCTAAGAGATCTCTCTGTAAAATACAACAATAACAATTAGTATTCGAATAATAGGACAAAATTTTTATCAGTGTTTTAAATAATGTTATTGGTTTTGAAGTAGCTTTTAACTGTCAATATATTGAATCAAGTTCTGATTAAAATTGTAATAACTAATAAACAATTCAAGTAATATGAGAAACAAATATACAGTAGGTTCATGAAGCAACATTATAATTTAATTATTTAAAATAATTAGTAGTGTGATTATTATTACCTTACTTGGTTCTAAGCAACATGAAACACAGTGTTCATATACAATGCAGCAGTGGTTATCTTGACAAGATTCACAATTGTACCTATGTGATAAATCAGAGAGTGGGTCACAACAACCATTCTTCATAACATCTGTTCTATGACATATGTACCCTATGCAGATAAAAAATTTATTATGTTTATTTTATATTTACATATTCATAAAGTATGTAATTTAAATAATGCAATATGTAGTACACATAATTAGTTTTATTCAAATTGTCTCACTTGCCTCTATCATCAACCAAGAATAATTTGCCTTGTACTGAGTTTCTACAAGTGATCGTGTCATTTCCACCTTTATGTTCTTGAAGAGTGCGCCATACAAATGGTTTTCTTTCTATCATTATTTCTTGGTACATCATATTGCGACTATTACCCTGAAATTCAGAAGAAAACACAGGGTAGGTATATATTTTAACCCAATATATTAAGTCTGTGATTAAATAAATTATACTAACCTCTCTAAGAAAACTGACAATACAGTAGGTCAAAGAAGATGCAAATATAATTCCAAGGACAAGGCGCCTTCGTATAAACCGAACTAATGCAGCATACCACATTTTACAAAAAAATAATTCAGACATCAAAATAAAACATAAATTATTGTGCGCGTAAGAGCCACAAATTAACATGTTTTATTTATTATTGAAAAAGTGACGCGTCGGCTTCATCACATTTCATAAAATCATTTTTAAATTGAATGAAAAATCAATTCGGTAATTTCAATCGTATACTGACAATTGCGACCACATTTTATGAACGGAAAGAAATTATTTTCCATTCATTTTTACCACTTAAAAACAACAACAACGTCATGCAAAACAGCAAACTGGTTATTAATCAAAGAGTAAATAATTTAGGTTTGAGATATAATATCGATATGTCCTTTTTCATCATATCGATTTTTTCAGGAGGTTTATTTTTATCTGATATATCGATACTAAGTAACCAATAGAAAATCATAACTAGTGTTATTTTTTAAATTACTTGGTATAATATATTATAGCTTCTATGTTAGTTCCTTATTGACATAATTTAAAAATGACCCGATTGGTCGTGCCATACTTCGATTTATCTTTAGACCGAGTTTCAGATTCACACGTTCCATTTTACCTAGAAGACTTTGAATGAGTATTCCGCAATTCTGCTATTTTTTACGTAATAATCGCATCTCAAAAGATTCTCAACTACTTGCATTTTGCCATTGTACTATCTACATGAAGTCTAATACATATTATTAAATATTTATCATCATTGAAAAGCGAGGAAGTCAGTGTACCTAAAATATGGGATATCCACTCGAGTGTCGCGGATCTGTTGAAACTCATTTTGCGCGTGGCGACTTAAGTGTCGAACCTTTTTTGCTCTCGGAGGAAACGGATTTTTTTTCTCAAGATTTGAAATGAAATGAAAATATCCTTATTTAAGTACATTGTTCAACAACGTTGAAGAACAAGCTGTGGCGACTGATACGTAGCGACATCTAATTCATCGCAGTCACATCGCCACAACAATGGATAGCGAGAAGAATATCATCGTCACAGCAATCGATGGCAAGACGAACTGCAAGAAGTTTCAACACTCAGAACAAAGAAACCTGCATCGCCCACAATAAGTTTCATTACCAATTAGCATAAATAGAATGTCCAACCCACATCGGTCGGACCGCGGTCCCCGGGCTAACAACACTTAGCTCGGAGGGAGACAATTAACCTTTAGTCTCCCTTGCCAGTTGTCTCCATCATCCAGGAGGGACCAGACCTTCAACCTTAAGGTTCCTACAAAGCGAAAGAAACATACTAGCTCTTTATTATAAGTAATGACATTTACATAAATCATGTCATTACCAAAATACTATGTATTATCACAATAGTTTGTGTGCGACAGTATTATTTGCAGATGACACCTCTTTAGTGTTTAACTTTAAGAGGGATAGTTTTGGTTTTGACAATGTAAATGATGATCTTGACATTATTCTTCACGACTATTTTAAAATGCAAGTCATTGAGACTCTATTGAGATACGAGTATTACGTAAACATTAACAGGATTGGCCTGAAGGTGGTAAGACCTCCGATGTTGACTCTGTTTAACCAGCTGTAAAGGATGATCATTATAATCACTTTTACGTAAAAAGTAAATGATGGAAAAATGCATAGTTTCAGTTTTTTGATATGTTTGTTAAACGATACGGAAATGATTATCTTTGGTCCATTCGTTTACTGCAAAAAACAACTTTTGGTAGAGCCGCCATCTAGTGAGGTGCTTTTTAGTGCTTTCTTAAAACACTACCCCATTTTCCATTTTTCTTATATTGCGTAAATTTCGGTTAGGGTTTCTCCTCGAGAGTTTTCAATTACTCGTAACCTATCCTACTAGATAGATATTTATTAATCATTTGGTTAAAATAGCGGCTTAATTTGGTGGCATTGAATGTCGCCCAAAAATCTTTGATGGTCATTGAAACACATGGCTAAACGTCCATCAGGTGAGTAGCTGAACACGTGGTCAGCCACAACGTTTTGCAGTACGTCTGGTACAACGTCTACTACTGCCAAGGGTTTGGATCTAGTAAAAGTACATATCTCCTCAGTCAATATGGTGACGCCATATTGGTGTAGCAGTTTTGGCGGAGGTCGCTTTTAAAATATTACACATCCTTCAGGACTGTACAAAATGTAGGTATTGTGGTCTAGGCATCATAAAATTTGTGAACATCTTTTTTTGGAATCAACAATGTTTTTTGCAGCGATTTTATATTCTCGTGTTGTACTTGCCTGATTTTTGGATAGCTATGATCAGAACATTTTTTGAAGACTATTATACTTAGCAAAAGATCGAGACGGCGTTAACAGTAATTTGCGTATCATTATTCATATTGCTTGGTCTATCGTGTCGTGGAGTCTTTGACTGGGCTACGAACTCCATTGGCAAGACCCATGTAGCTAATCATATCTTATAGTATTTTTTCTGTTATAATTTGATGAAGTCTCAGATATTTTCAACTGTTTGTAACAATAATATTTACACCAAGATCCTAAATGACTGTGAATATTGCTGTTGAAATACAGAATTATGTGCAATATTTACTTATCTAATAAAATACTTTAATACTTTACATAGAAGCGTGTGCTTGCGTCGTCTTTTTGAAAGTTTTTGAACACACTAAAATATATCTATTGGATGCCGATGTAGGTAGCAAAGACTTTGTAAAGTTAAAAAAGATCCATTTTGCAAAGTAACATCGCAGATTTTCACACTGTGTTAACATGGTAATGGTATGACTGCGCGTAGCACCAACGCCATTCGCTTTGCTTGCGTTTTGCACTTAGATCTTATTCCAAGTTACATATAAATAGGTAAATTAGGTACTAGGTCTGACTTTTTTTTTCTTAACTAACTGTTAATAATTTAATCATTACGAAACTCATTTTCGAAGCTGATCTGGATGAAAATAGGGTATTACACCTATTATTGAAAAGGATCACAATTCAATCTAAAGGTCCTAATAAACCACGGAAAAAATATAAAATTCTTATTCAGTCAGTGAGTTTTATAAAATTACATCTATGGTCTGTCGAAAGAAGTTCCGTGGCATAACTCTTATTCCCTTACAATAAAAGCAAAAATATTGTGATCCGAGGAACTTTTTTCGTGAGACGAACTCTAAAGGAGAATGTTTTTTTGGTACTTTATTCCGAAAAAATCTAACCACTATAAAGAAAATTATCATAGCATTTTAAATTTCGCGCGAATCATGAAAATGCCCTGTTGCTCTGTAGTTGTGGCGTCATTTGGTTATGTAAAGAAACGCGTTGCTGTTGGTTTCTTATATTTTTTGCACTTTTAATTATATTCAAATAGTTGTAATAAGATAGTACTTTCATCAATGTTTTAACATTCCGTAATGCAGCAGAACAAAAATCGGGACATGCAGTAAAAAGCTTTCCGACGATGAATGTTTACTATTGGTAAATTTGTGCGACCTTCCTTTACAAAACCCTGTTCCATGGTTTCTGTATTTCGTCATTGAAATATTTAAAAAATAACCTCCAAACGTATTTATCTTGTTTGAAACTTCATTTTCTTGTTAGTTTACAAACCGAATGACGTCATATCATGGCGGCTACTGATTCGCGTTATAAAAACACAGTCTAAGATTTTAAAAGTTTGATTAAAATTTTAACAATCAATTTCTTTATTTTATGAGTTGAAATTAACATTTTCGAACTGCTTATTGCCTCAATTGTATATTTTTAGATCTTTTCTCGTAATTACCAAAATATCCTATTTCTGAGATAATTAAAGATGAGAAGTGGTGAGATTTTTAATAAGTACCCACAGGAAAATTAAACTAATTAGAACCTTGAAACATCCTTTTATTAATTTTCGGACATTATTTAATACCTTCTAGGTACTTATTACAGAATTAGTTCATTTGACGAAAATAAAACAAATATATTTCCTACAGCGAACATTTATTAAGTATCACAATCGTATTACTTATGGTAAAATTGATGAGAGCCATGGCAATTTCCCCGTTGTTTTGAAATTCCTCCAGTCGTACAAAAACCGACCGAGAACTAGTAAAATTAAACCAAGTAGCACTAGGTTTACAATGTTGATCGTACTAATAGGCATCTCCATTTCACTACTGCACACATTCCCAAGTGGCATCGTACTTATCTGAAATAAAAGAAATTAAATATGATTTAAATTAAATATGGCCGGTGCAAATCTGACGTACTGCATGTTAAAGAACCGGTTAAGCAAATAATGATTAATAAATGAGATCAATTTTGCTTTAAAATATAACATAAACACCCTAATAAAATCTTTCTGGCTATTTCATTTGTATCTGGCTGGTTTCGGTATCATTAAAAAGTTTAAATTTTAAAGAATTTCAGTTACGAAAGTCTGTGATTTTCATTTGTTTATCTTACTGTCAAAATGAGTGAATCTAATGAAGAAATTCGATACATTTTAAAATTAAGTGCTGCATTTTTACTTTTTTGAAATAAATAACATTTTAAAATGCAAGCCGCGGAAAAAAATTGTGGCGTTTATGAACCTAGTGCAGTTTCTGTGAGAGTAACACAAATTTGGTTTAAGCGTTTTCAGCCCGGAAAGTTTGATGTCAAAGATGCATGTGGCTCCGGTCGCCCTGTTACGGATAAAATGGATGCCATTTTTTTTCAGAAAAAGTGCAGCAAGATCAGCGTATCAGTAATTACGACGTAGCTGAAGAACTGGGAATTGACCATTAAACAGTTTTAGCACATTTGAAAAAGCTAGGTACACAAAAAGTTGGATATTTGGATACCACACGAGCTCATTTAAAGAAACCTAATACCGTGTACTCATTTTATTACGGCGTAATGAAACCAAACCACTTTTGAAGAAGAATATATGATATGAGGTATATTTTTGAAGTAAATTCAGATACCTGAGTGAATTCGAATTCGGGTTTGGTTTTTTACAGAGTCGCAAGGCAATGCCCCAAAATTTAAATAGCAACGGGACAATGTTGCTACCCTACAATTCGGCAAAAATAACCCCTATCTATAAAATTGTACCTGCATACTTCTGTTAAATAAACTTTATTATTATTTAAACTTTATTAAAAATGTTTTAAATTTTCATATTATTATTAAAAACGCGAAAGTTTGTGAGGATATATGTACGATATGTTTGTCACACTTTCACGCAAAAAATACTGAACGGAATTTTATGAAATTACTTATCTGGACAATTCTAAGGCACTAAACAAAAGGCCTACTCTGTTTTTCCGAAAACGAAAATTCGTCTATTTTATAGGGAGCGATTCATAAATGTTTGTACTAGCTTAGACTAGAAAAAAAACATAATATTAATATTGATTTCTTATATTTTCACGCGCACTATCCATAATTGAAACAACTTTATAAAGATACTGGAAGCCTACTCTAATTCACCGAAAAACGAAATTTCGTTCGAAACTTCGGACGTTTCCTACCACAATTACATTCGTTCCGAATATTCAACGAACGAAAATATTTGACATATTTATTTTCTAAACCTACTCTATTTCACGAAATGACAAAACGAACATTTGACTTTGATATCTAATTGTTCGGAATTCTTACCTCAAATTGACGAAGTAAAAAATGTTACCTTTTCATTTTCGTTAGCAATTTTTTATTTTCGAAATGGGGTCTATATTACTATTAATCGAGTCAGCTCTCAGTAAAGAACGATTAGACCGTAGAAGAAATCGGCAGCGGCTTCGAAATAGCCTTAATATAAGAAATATTCTCGATACTGAGTTTGTAAGTATTTACAGACTCAGTTGTGAATTATTTCAAGAACTATGCCAAGAGATTATACCTTTACTGCGTCCACAGGCAAGATCTCATGCCATCGAGTCCACAATTAAACTTGGAAGATATTTTATCGTAGTTCTTGATAAAAAAAATTGCATGCCTACCATTATGCATTTCATATTTTTATGATTCTTACAGCGTTGAATTTTTATGCCCGAGGTAGTTACCAAGGATTCGTATCTCAAAACATGGATGGGCCTATGGCCCAACAAACAGTTTCACGGTGTTAGGAGGTTAGGAATGTTCTCAATTCACCAGATAGGTATTATAAGAAAATATATTATTCCCTCAAAACCAAAATGAAAGCAATCTTATTAAGAGACAGTGAGTACCTAATAGTTTATTTTGGCTCTATGTATGAATTGTGAATAATTACCTATAGAATTATGTCATTAATATTACAGATTTTACGAGGCATATAGGCTATGCCATTATACCTGAAAAATATGACTGATAAAAAGTAAATTTATTACTAAAAACCTTTTTTTGTGCCGAAAAACTAAATATTACTTTCATACTTACTTATAAAGTTTTTTACTGAATTGTCAAGATAAATTTCGAAACTCACAATAATTAAATAAAATATTAGTAAACACTGAACAGTTTGGTGAAAACTTGTAAAACTTTTGGCGGGATGAGAATCGTTTGTATTATACGGATATTTAAGATTGCCATACGTTGATTATAGCCATCGTATAAATGAAAGGTTGTTTTTAAATATGTCGGTTAATACTGTGGATAAAAGAGTTCTTTATAGTGTCTTGATAAGTTGTAACGAAAAATAAAATTCATTAATATACTAAGTTTTTCGTTATATTATTATAATATTTTATGTTTAAACAATGTTTAGCCACTAAAATTTTATTTAAAAGAAATATATGTATTGTTTAATATTATATATTTCAAGTTACGGTAAAAACCGGAATTTGACATTATAAGAAATCCAATAACGCCATTCACTCCAATCGATCACGAAAATTGTCTTTGGAAACGAACATTCGTTGGTGTATACGAAAATGATAAAGAGTAGCGTTCCATGCGAATTTCGTTTTAATTTCGTTCGTAAACGAAATTTCGTTTTCGAGAAAGCGAGTAGGCCTCCTGTTCGTTCGTTCGTTCTGTAAATATTAATTCAAAGAGAGCAATTTTCTTTTCTTGACTGAGTTTGGTTCGCCAGTTCTTCTCAGACTCTTGTCTCAGACTCTTAAATTTGGAACTAGTGATAGATTACGGTAGCCAAGGGTGAATAAATAACTCAAATGTATTTTTAAAATAATTTGATTTAATAAATGTAAACATTGCCATAAAATATAAAAAATTGTATTGTAAATGTGTCGAATAGTATTGTTTTAAAGGTTTTTATTATTTTATGCTCTTAATTAAAAAGAAAAGGAGGTAAGAAAAGTAAGATTAATGTAATAAAACTTTCCTTTTTATAACATTAGTAAAGATAACAGCAAGAAGGTAGTAGTAGGATTTCAAAAGAAAAGATGTTTTGTTCAAAAGAAAAGTTAAGTAGACTGAAGTTCGGATCTAAGAAATTTTGAAGTATATAAATACATTTGTTGTGGCTTTAAAACTTTAGACTCAAACTATAAACATAATTTAATTGAAACGGTTGTCTAAGTAACGTTTTAAAAAGGACGAGTCTGGATAAAGAGTAACAACGAATTTACTACCATACATTGAATAAAAATAAATGGAGATTCAAACATATATAATATAATATTATATTATCCAACTGCAGTGAATTAGATGGCAATGAGGTTACGCAATGTCCAGTTATAAGATGGGTGACTTAAAACGAATCAATTTGATTCGATTTATATTCCTTCCCAACAAGGAGCTTCATTTGTTTACACTATGTTTAATTATACATAAATATGCCTATACTTATGCTGATAATCCTTGATTTGAAATATTTTTTTTATTATTATTTTATTTTATTCTTTATTGCCTAACTAAGGACAAATGGCGGACTTAATGCCATAGAGGCATTCTCTCCCAGTCAACCAGTTAGATTGTACAGAACAGTAGTAGGCGGTAAAGATTAAAAACCGTACATAAAATCGTAACTATAAGCATTAGCATATATACATACAATACATATACGCATATATACATAATATTAATATACATACATTATATATGTATATTAATATTATAATAGGTTAAACCAATTTAAGTAAGGAAAGAGGGGAGCTTAAAATTAATGTCACGTTGACTTATGTTAGCCGTTCTATTAAAATGATGATTTGACTAGAAAACTAAGAGGTAGCCGTCTAATTTAACGGCAGATTTAACCAGTTGACTCCGTCATGTATGCTATAGGCACTCTTCACTTCTGTGCAAAAATATTAAAAATTGAAATAAGGGCCAGTTTTGATCCGTGGTTAACTCAACCATTTGTTAAAATCTTCGGCAAATAGTAAAATATCAGAAAAATATGTTTTTTGATTAATTTAGTGCTGCGGCCCGCGATCGTAGTGAGTAGCTCGGTGGCGTAGTGGATAAGTGCTGCGGCCCGCGATCGTAGTCGTTAAGCAACTTTCGCAAGGGTCGGTCATGGGATGGGTGACCAAAAAATTATTATCTCGATCTACTCCGTGCTTCGGAAGGCACGTTAAGCCGTTGGTCCCGGCTGCATTTGCAGTCGTTAATACCCTCCAATCCGCATTGGGCCAGCGTGGAGGGTCATGGCCCATCCTCCTTAACCATCCATAAGGAAGGCCTGAGCCCCTGCAGTGGGGACGTAAAAGGGCTGGTGGTGGTGGTGGTGATGTTTTTTGATTAATAGTTAGTCTAAGCAATTGTCAGAATTCGAACCATATTGGTCAAAAATTTAACTATCACTGGAAGCTAGGTTAAGCAAATGACCAATGGTTAAAATAACAGATGTACAACTGCGATGTATTAACTTCGTCCCTTGTTATTGTTTTTTTCATTGTTTTTATAACCTACATGATTTATAGTGAATTTGGACATTAGTTATTTTTGGGATTTTGTTGCATGGTGCAATTTCATAGGAAAATATTCAATATAATTTTTAGGTTTTGGATTATTGAAAATATCCATCATCCTTAGTATATTTGTACTATATAAAATAATTCCAATTCTTGTTTCCACGGGCTTATGCCAAATAATTAAAAAAATTATAAAATCCACGAATAGGCAATACAAAAGATAAATAAGCCTACAGTATATAAAATACATATTCCTCGATTTATTTTTCAACATTGCTTTCAGTCTAATTAGTCTAATCAGTTTTAATCTAGTTTAGTCTTTCAGTCTAATTTACATTAATGATCTTCCTCACTTTACGAA